CTAAGATTATTACTACCCACCCACTCCCACCTGGCTTTTGATGACCTCTAGCCTAGCTATTCTGTTTTTCATTCTTCTGTTAAAAATACACACCCTGGGTATCTGCTGTGTGTCAAGCAGGGCTAGGTGTTGGAAATACAACGAGCAGTCTTCGTCTTGTGACCAACACATGCACAGGCAATTTCAGTTCAGTGTGACAAATAGAAGCACTTATTGCCAGGAGAGGACATGGAACAGATACCTAACCCAAATTAGTGTGTTAGATAAGAAGGTGAGGGAGAAGGTGAGTCAGATAGAGGTACAGACTGTTCAAAACCCTGGAGGGGTGATCAGGTAGGGTCAGGTAAAGAAAGGACAAGAAATTCCATATGGCTACAGCCCAGAGTACAGCAGGGAAAGTGAGGAGAGGTGAGACTGGAGGGAGGAGCAGGAATTGGAACACAAGGAGCTCTGTTTCTCTTTGCAAGGAGTTTAGATACCTGCTGAAGGAGAATACAATCAAATATGAGTCACAGAAAGTTCACTAGGGCTGCAACATGACAGAGGGATTGGAGAGGCCAAAACTAGACCTGAGAGAGCAGCTAGGTGGCTGTTGAGGTCATCCAGATGAGAGACGTTGGCACTATGAACTAAGGCAAAAGCAGTGGGGATGGAGATAAGTGGACAGATTTCTGATGTTCAGGAGTTAGGACTTGGTACATGACTAGAAATGGGATGATGAATGAGAGGAAGGAATAAAGGATGGTCCCCAGATTTTAGGCTTGGCCAAATGGTGATAGAATCTGAGACAGGGAGTGTAGATAAGGGGCAGATGGGGGAAGGGATGATGAATTCAGTTTAGAATCTATTGAGTTTGAGGTGCCTTCAGGACATCCAAATGGAGCTGATCAGAGGCAGTTGGGTCTATCTAAGACCTGATAATATATTATGTATTTATTCATTATCTAACTTGGAGAAAAAAAGGATAGTAGATGGCTGATAGTTGAGGAACTTAGGGACTAGAAGGAGCGCTGAAATGGAAGAACAAGGGCTTTGGGAAAACTGAGAGAACTGGAAGGCAAGAAGGTAGTGGTCAAAGAGTAAGATGTTTAAGATGTTGGGGATGTACCAGTGTAAGACAATGGATTTGAGGTGGTCAAAAAAATGAGAAGCCAAGGTGATGAATGGGTAACCCTGATGACAACAGACTTGGCAAGAAGAAATACTGTGAACCAAGTGTCAAAAGTCTTCACTAAATGAGAAGCAATTTGGTTGGTGATAGTAAGAGGGTAGGGAGTGTAACAAGATGGCAAAAGTTTCAAAGATGGAGTAAAGTCCAAAGATGGGTGATGTGTGGTCAAAGAAGACCCAGTACAGCTTAAGGATGCCAGTAACAAAATGATAGGTGACTAAGGGGACTGACACTTGGGGCAATTAGCAAAGATGAGAAGCATGTGAGCTATGGAATGAGCTGGTTGGCGCTAGCTGTCCTGGTATGGACTGTTTTTGCTTCAGAAGAATTCAGTTCCCCTGGAGGAAAGAGCAGCAGCCCTGCAGCAGTGTTTCTCTAAAAGGGAAACCAGGGATAGAGAGTTGCCAGATTTAGCAAATAAAAATACAGGATGCCCAGTTAAATTTCAATTTCAGGTATTACACAGGACATACACTGAAAAATTATTTGTTGGTTATCTGAAGTGCCTGAAGAGTCTTATTGATTTCTACAAAACTTTGGCATCATATAGTCATAATAACCTGCCAGGTGGTCAACCTCTCACATATCCAAATCAAATCCCTTGTACTAGAGTAGGCTAACTACTATTAGACCTTAAAAACGTACAGTTGAGGGGGGAGAGTATAGCTCAGTGCTAGAGTGCCTGCTTAGCATGCACGAGGTCCTGGATTCAATCCCCCAGTACCTCCATTAATTAAATAAATACATAAACCTAATTACCTTCCCACAAGCAAAAAACACATATGGCTGAACAAGTTTATATTTCTTACTAGTTAAGCTGGTCACCAAGCCGAAGAGGCCCTTCTCCACGTAGTCACTTTGGGTTCAGGTGGATGAAGGCTCTGCCTTGGGTGTCATCATCATTCCAGCCTGATGGAAAGGAAAAGTATGGAGCAGCACCTGTGGGATGTTTCTATAAGCCAGGCCTGAAAGTGGTGTAGGCACTTCTGCACACAGTCCATTGGCTGAACTCAGATACATGGTCATATGTAATGAAAGGGAGTCTGGGAAACCTTGTGTGTGCAGGAAGAAATGAACATGGATTTGAGTAAGCAATCTCTGCCATACTCCTTGAGTTTGATCTGTGGATCCCCTAGGGATCAAGATTCTGGACAATCTCTGCTTTAGAAGAACAGACACCCACATATATACTATGTCCTAATTGCTACTGAAAATGTGATTAAGGACAGAACTAAGGATCATTACATTTTTTAGATAGCCAAATGTGGTACCTGTCAAATAGATCTCACTAAAAGGAAAAGGAAAGGTCCGTTCTGTTGTTTCAAATTCTAGCTGCTAGCCCACCAAGTTGGTACTTTATCTTTTCATTACAATGAAATTTACCACAAATTCTTCCAAACAAATGTTTTCTCCCAGTTCTTGCTTATGTAAATTTATTGCCACAACAAAAAAAGACTGCCCTTTATCATAAGGCTAAGCTTGCTAAGGAACAAGAAGCAACTACCTGGTGGTTCAGCCATAAACCTAATCCCACAGGCATGCCTAAGAAGGGAAATAAGAAACTGGGACAATTTCTTTTTCAAAAGAAAAAGTGAAAGTAGATAAAGAGCTTGATTCTAGTGGGAGAAAAGATGTGGCCAAAGAATTTAAATAAGACACTTCCTCCTGTTACTCTTTTTTGGAGATGGGTCTCCTTTTTTCTTGTTGTATCACAAGGCTCATAAAAGGATTAGGGCCCCAGACTCAGGTCGATTTCCTCTTTACTTTCGAACTACTTTGACATCAGAATGGGGTCATATCCTTTTTACTTTCAAACTACTTTGACATCAGAATGGGGTCATATCCTTTACCATAAATGCAGAGAGAATTCAAGAACATGAGGTGTTCTTGAGTTGCTGCCTCTGAGGTCTGTTATTGAAAAACCTAAACAATAACAGGATAAGGAAAAATCACTTTGCATATTGTTTAGGATACATTAAGCTACTTCCATTACAACTGGTATTTTAGAACAAAATAATTTGGACATAATCTTGACATTTTTGTTAATGGAATTCAGCTTTGTTTGAAAATATTGCTAAAACTAGAAATTAAGATACAACCAGCGGATAAACTTCGTTGTATGGATATAGCTCCCCTCTAAGTGACTGTTACCTCCCCTTCTATGGAAAAGGCAAGGTACAGGAAAGCATCCAAACCCTTGAGACCGGGCTTTGTCAAGCATGTCACGTTTCTACAACAGAAAGACCTCTGGAAATGGGTTTTACTCTGACCAATATTAAAATGAACCTACAGTCTTTGAGCATACACAAGATCGGAGATGCCGGGAACAACAGCTGAGAGGTAGCCAGTTGGGTTCCTATTCCCCAGACTCAAACCCTGCTAAGGAAAACATTCAAACAAAAAAATGTATTGCCTGCTATGAACCAGGCTCTGGAGATAGAATGATGAACAAATGAGATGTGGCTCCTGCCCTGATGGAACTGATCTATAGTCTTAACAGAGCAAATGGAACGAAATCATCACAGAAATAGATAATTACAATCTGCTAATTACAATTTGTGAAGGTGAATATGATGATTATAAACTGCATTTAGGGGTTTAGAGAAGGTATCTCTGAGAAAGTGACATTTAAGCTGGAACCAAGAATAAACTGGAGTTAAGGAGAAGCCAAGTTGAGCTTGCTTTCAACCTGTATCCCTAGAGAATCCTTCAAACCCCTGCTCCTTTCAAACCTCACTTCTTAATGGCTAGCTCTTCTTGTTCCCTGCCGCCAACTTTACCTCCACGTTTCTTTTTCTTCACGTTATGCGTGGCAGCAGAGTTCCAGATTCTTAGCCTCCTCCTGCCAAACTTTGGAGGGCTATTTTCATATTTTAACCTATGGATAGAGCCACTTCTTTCTTCATATCTTTAAAAGGAACAGAACTTAATCTGAAGATCAGGGTCATAAAATGTAAGAGCTGGTGTGAGCTATGTAAAGCAACCCAACACTCAAGTTATCTCAAGATTTTGGGAGTTTATCTCTTACTGATAAAAAGTGGAAACATACTTTAATCACCTGGCTGTTAAGTGTGTGTATGCCGAAGCTGGCTCCCTTTGCAGTAGTTTCCCTTATTTAACTCTGGGTTGATATTCTGCTATGTCTACAGCAGTAACTAAATGTTTTGTTTTGGGTCCAAGGCAGAATACTGTATAAATGACTAGCAAAACTTGTCCTTTTCGTTTTAAAACTTCATCACCCACAGGACATAAGACTATGGAGTATAATGTCAACATTTTAGGTATATATATTCACACACTGTGTGGCTGTATCTAAATATACATATGCTTTAAGAAAAGATGGGAAGAACATAATGTTTAACCTTTTTAAAATTTCCTAAATTATCTATCCTAAAAAAGTGCTACTTATAAAAAAAAAAAAGGAAGAATTACACTGAGTATCTGTACTAACATTGTAAAAACTTATAACATCCACATTCCTTATTTGCTTCACAAAGCCCCCTACCATACTCATTCATATTTTCTTTACATCTATATATAACCATTTCTGGGCGAGTATGACATTCTCTGTTCACATCATTCCAGCTTCCCAATCATCATACAATCACTGTTCTTATAGTCCCCTCAAATTAATATTTTATGACTTCTGGAGACCCTTCAAAATATCATCAAAGATTAATTCCATCTTTAATGAGTACCCACAGAGTGTGTATCATTGCTTCTTTATCTGATAATCTGACTGACTACAAGCTGTTGAGTACACACAACTCTTATTCCCTAGGCGTAAAACATTTAGCTCTTTTGTGAAAAATATTCAAAGATTATTTTCTTCAAAAGATCACCAAGCCAAACATTTGGCCATATTTTTATTTACTACATATACTATAAACATATACAATACATGCTACAAAAAACCATTTTTTTCTTAAATTTAACTGTCAAGAAAGTGTATAGTGTTATAATACAATGGCACATGTTCATATTTTATTTCAAATTGGTTTGCTTATCACCCATTTCAAACCATTAATAGTGAAATGTTACTTAAGGATAATTAAAAATTATCTATTTGCATTATTAACAATAAACAATTCCAACAAATTAATAAGAATTAACCATGTCAAATATTAGTATCCAAAAAAATGGGCTTTTGCAGAAATTATTATATAAAATATAGCAGCCAATTTCAGTTTACTTTGCTCTGTGACAATGTACATATGCACTTGAATAGAATTCTAGCATCTGCTTTTGGAAGATATTTATAAGAAGTCCTCTGATTTCTTAAGGTCCAACAACTGCCACACCCAGCCAAATCCAACCCAACAGTTCCTGTAATGGCTTTAGACAACTGATCATTGAAAAATTCTTATGATTTGGGTAGAGCTGCATGTTCCACCAATATTACACATGATGAAAAGAGACATTACAAGCCAATACCAAAGTCAAAGGCAAAAGAAAATACAAACATTCAAATCAGTTGTGACAAAGCTTTTCTACAAATATTTCAGATGTCATACTTTCAGGAAAACGAGATTTGATGTGTATTTGGATTTTACAGTATCTATGTCCTAACTGAAAATTTAACAGACTAGTCATATGGAATTAAGTCTAGTATTACAAATCTGTCCATTCAACATTATTGAGCACCCACTGTATGCATAGCACTGTGCTAACATTTTAAAAGTCGAGTATTAATGTCTTTATCAAGCATTACTTTAGTGTGAGGTAAAAATATATTAAATTAGCGTCAACTCATTAGTTTGCTTGTGGTAATGTATGTAATCCTGTGCCAGCTGGCTTCCCTGTGCCATATAATGAACTTCTGCATACCCCTCATTCACTCACTAAAACACCTGTACTCTGACTGTGCCAGACATTGTGCTAGTCACTGGGATACCATGATTTGGCCTATGTTCAAAGAATGCAAATTAATCTTAACTTATGCAAAATAATTAGAAAGACACATTACTTTTCTAAAATGAGGCCCAAAGCAAAAAACAAGGTGTTTCTATTGATCATATCACACCAGAGACCAGCAAGTGCCTCTAGACTAGGAACTAATTTTGAAAGTTTCATATTGTAGTCTAAATAGCCTAGGTCATTTTTGGTCTCAGAAGTCTATTCTTTGGAGCACCTGATCCATATGAATCATTCCATACTTAAATAGGTTTGTAAACTAAATTTGAACATAAAGAGTCCAAAATGAAGGCAGTTTATAATGTGATGTACTTCGAGCACTATTCTGGCCACATGAAATGAGTAATATATAAGTAATTCATGATTGGTTCATTTTTCAAACAGCTAACCTTATCCCAAAACTCAGGTAATTTTAACTTCACTTTTATACAAGTTGTACATGAAGCAAAGGGCAGAATTTGGCCCCCAACCTTCTATGGAATATTCTAAGTGATTGGTCCTTCCACTCCAAGTAGAAGCTAAGAATTCCATAGAGTCCCCTAATAGGATACTGGCACTCAGGCACTCAGGAGGAATGGCCTGGCTGGATCCCATTAGCCAGGAGTCTATTTAGCTGCGGTAGCAATGTGAACCTACTACTTGAGGGAAGGCAGAGAGCTGGGAGTTTGGCTGTCCACGCAGTGAATCCAATACTGGCGTAAAGCTATGCACTGAATAAAGTGCTCTGCACATCCTGCTTATCATCTGGAATGAAAATAAACACTTATCTTGAGAATTAACATATTTTCAGGTTTTTGGGGAAAAGAATGACAAGGCTTGAAAAAAAAAATCCCAAGAAAAAGTATGAAGCATTGACTGGGAAGGAAGACAAATGCCTCTAGTAGTGTCCTCAGAATTCTCAGGATTTGAACTGTCAGAATGAGTCATACAATGGTCATGGTCTATAAATGAAAAAGCAGTCCCACTGGGTACTATTCACATGGTGCATGATTACTTCATGGGGGTGGGAGGGAACAGTCTATTGCCATTTGATAGCATGGTTTTGGAATGAACACAAAACCATTGAATAAATCAGGGTAAACAGTGTGCAACACTCCCCTCCTGTCCATCAGTTTTCCACAGGTTGATTTGTACTGCCTGAGACAAAGGAGGCAAGATACTATCCCTTCAGATATACTCAGGCAAGGCTGCTACCATCTAAAATTGCCAATTCAGAAGTTAACACACAAGCCCTCCAGTTTCGTACCCTGAATACGGTAAATGAGACTTGGGATGGAGTAGTTCAGTCTAAAAAAGATCACAGGTAACAGAACGCTTATATAAACTAGACTGCTTTGACATCTGTAAGAAAATTGTATAGATGGCAATTGAAAAAAGAAAAAAAAAAGATTGTTCCCATCTGTCAGCAAAACTGTTTGTTGAGCTATACTCAGCTGAAGTCCTCATCGGGATTCTGTTGATCCAGCAGACGGACATGTGTGAATGGGAAGTGACCTCGTTTGCCATTACACTCCCCTTCCCACTGACCACTCACATTAATCTTCGTAACCTTTACCAGCTCACCGACCTGCAGGAGGAGAATAAGGACAGCACTTTATTTCCAGTCATGAATGCAAGATAAAAAACTCCATTCTCTGGTTAGCCATGCCCTGCCCACGTGATTGCTCTAGGGCTGATATTACAGAAATGGCTATTTGCTGCTTCCCAAGCCCCAGCCACCAGACTGATTACTTGTGGTTAATGCAGGCAGGAGGAAGGAGTGATTTTAGCATTGCAGAAAGGAGTGCAGAAAACAGAAAGGAGCCTAGAAAATGATACCCTTTGGAAATCTCAAGTGTCTCTGGAGGAGCAATGTTATCTAGTATTCCTGGTCTTGATCTAGTATTCCACTACCCTTAGCTTCCCGCCTGGCCTAGGGGAAGAAGCCCCCTCCCCTCACTAGCATACAGCAGCACAATCCCCTGCTCACTCTTGTACATATATCCTGGCTTGCTAGTGTTTGTAGAGCAGAAGGCAATCATAGGAAGCATACTTCATTTGGTCCCAGGAAATGAAGTATTCCCATTACCTTCCTACCATGGCAAGGCTTTTCCCACTAGTACAGGTGTAAGCCAAAACTCCCAATTCCATCAGCTCCCTGAAAGCCCTCACCTTCAGTAAGTTCGACCTGGCAGGCTACTGCTTGCCAGTCCTCCCACCCCCACCGCACCACATACTGACAGAACTTACTGCTCCCTCAACACCACTTAGTACCTGTTCGTTAATAATAAGGGGACATAGTATTTTTCCTGTTATAAAAGCTTCCTGTTGTAATATCAAGTATTTTCGACAATCTAGGATATACCTTCATCTTACTGTGAAACTTATGACAAGGTCAGCCTGATGAAAGGATTCACCCCCTAGCAAAATATTTAACAATGGTGAGACAAGGCCCCACATGTCACTGGAATAAAAACTTTATGACTGTCCTTTAATTATCAACATCTGAGTTCTAAGCATGCAAGTGGTTTCTAAGCATTACTATTTATTTGGCTTTATTAAGTTACTAACTACTATATATTAAACTTTCATCAAGTATTATAGAACATGTTTTATATAAATTATCTTCTAATAATAATAACCCTATAATATCAGAATTGTTTTCATTTTACAGATAAGAAAACTCAGGTTCAGAACAATTACAAGTTCTGAGGTGTCACAGCCAGTGACAGGGCTGGGATTTGAGCCCCAGAAGTATCTGGCTCCAAAGCCCATTTATGCTCTTTACCAGGACTTTCAAATTATACTCTTATGGACCTAGGGATTTCTTCCCTAAGAATGTCTGTAGGTCAACTAATGGCCAAAGGCAACTCAAGTCTAGGCCAGGGCCTTCCCTAAAACCATACTGATCCCATTCACAGAGGAAACAGCTTGCCTACTGGCCTGTCTGCAATTTCCTAAAGAATTATCTAACACCACACAGAGGCCTAAAGTGGTGGTGGGAGTCAGGATGCTGAGAAAAAGAAGACAGAAACCATGGACTATTAGAGCGACAAGGGATAAGATACAAAGATAAGAAAAAAGCAGCAGCTCAGTCCAATGATATGTGAAGATTAAGGATGATGGTGTAAGGGGAGGAGAGAGAAAAGTGATATTGCATGCCATCCTCGCAGACAGATTCAGTTCCTATAGGCTGCTAACACCAGTGTTCTGTTTATTCCCAGCATTCTTTCAATTCAATTCCTGATATCCGAGCAGAGCAACTATGACAAACAAAAATTTTCAGTCTTTAAAGAGAAGACCAGAACATCAAGTGAAAATTTCCTTGTAGTAAAAACAGTTTAAGAGTTCTTCCTATCTCCCTAATTTTAGCTCTCAGACTATCTCACTTGTTTCTTTCTTTTAAAAATTCCTGCAGTGTTTTGAGAAGCTAGGCTCTACATAAGCTTCAAAACGTAACTATTCCTTAGTGAATTTTACTTGTTTCTGGCTCCCCACTCTCTACACATACACACACAACACAGTACTGGAATTATTGCCCCTGCACTGCTAGCTCCTCACTATGCTATGGTGAATGATAACAAGCGTAGAACATCCCCCCCCATTTTAATTACTTATTTTACTGTAGGTTAAAACACTCATGTCATACTAAAGTGCTATTCAGGTAGCTGGACTCAGAATAATGTAAGTCCCTGACCATAAGAAATAAAAGCAAAAACAAAATAAAACTAAAAAGGAAAAAAAAATCGCCACTCATGTTAGATTCCCCTCCAGATGGGGACAAAGGGGCCAGTTTCTTTTAAGAAGCTGGTTTGACAACAGCCCAACTAGCATCCCTAATAGTTGTTATACTGGAATCCACTATTTTGCTGACATTAAAAACACACCCAAGGGACATGAGGGAACATTCTAGAGTGCTGGAAATGTGCTATACTTTAGTCTGGATGGTTATCACATAGGTGTATATGCATGTAAACTCACTGGGCTGTATATTTAGGATTAGTAGATTCTACCGAATGATTTCATATCTAAATAAAAAGGTGGAAAGAAAAGAATGTTATGTTTTATCCAGCTTTTCTAGGTGTTTTGTAAAAGATGGTTCTTCAGGATACATCTTTAAGTCCACCATATTACTTGACATCAAAATCTAGGTTTAAACACCTCTCTTTTCATATAATATCGTCATTATTCTTAAGCATTCAAAGTGACATTTCAAAAACACATCCTAAAGAGCTCTAAGTGGAGGGTAGATTGAAATGTGGACCACCTACCCCATTTCTGTTACCAGTACCACAAAACCACACTAGTTTCTCCACAAGCAGGGAAACTACCTGTTAATCTGCCCTCAGACCTTTCTTCCTCAGAGTTCAAAGGCAGAAATGAGCAGGGGCTCCCATAAGGCAAGGTATTACTAGTAGGGAGGAAGTATGTGCAAAGTAGACCTTTGAACAACAGAGCCATCTCTGATATGCACATCTCCTGGTTCTACCCTACAGAGAAAGGCTTGGGAAAACCACACCATCCTTTGGAATCCAAAATCCTCTTTTTAACAGTGTTTTAGGTTCTTGGCAGAGAAGTCCAAACATCAAGGGGTGAAAGAAAGGCTATGTCATGGCTCTAAAATGATTCTGGTTTTTAAAAGGATAAAAGAGAAAAGTTGTAAGCAGTTAATAGGCTAATTAACCTGCCCAAAGTGGCCCTGGAGTGCAAATACTTCAAGGCAGATCTTATTAAAATTAAATACCCTACGTATAATACCCTATTGGAGTCTTTCTCCTGAAATATTCAAAGTACATGGGGACTCCTGGGGTCAAGAACAGACAAGTCCTAAAGGCAATATAACTATCCTTGAGAACACACAAGGCCCTCCCGCTCCAGCAGTTTGGAAGAAAGGGTGGCTGTCAAGCCCAGGGGTGAGATGGGGGCAGTGCAGAAGATGGGGCAGTCTAGGAATATGGTGCTCCACTATGCACAGTTCCTCCTCCAAGTCAGAAATGACACCATAATTTGTGCTCCTCCTCCGATTAAGCAACAACTCACTAAAGCACAATTCCTGAAGGCCCAACCACAGAGGGAAAGGGATAGATCTGAAGCTTGGCATATTACTTCAAAGACAAAGGAAGCAAATCTGAACACTAGCCCCAGAAATGTTACAATCTTATGATACAAAAGAATGTACTAATCACTGAGTGCAGTAATAACAGTAGTTCTAAACTACTGATTTCAAACTTCAAGTAACAGATGGGAAAAAAATCCTCATCTGCATACCAACAAAGAAAGAACTTATAAAGGAGCTGAAGCACTACAAGGCAGTTAACCCTGCTTTTTATGAGGCAGCTCCTTATAAAGGAGAGACAGTGATGATTCTTTCACTACCAAGGTACTATTTTAGTGTCCAGTCAGTTCCTCGCCTCTCAATCCTATACCACATCCTTAGCAGCAAGTCTGCAAGTAAATCGTGGCATGATCTGTAAAGAGGGCTGAATGTGGATACTTCAGCTTCTTCACTCCCTGGGAACTTGATGAACACTGTTTTCCTCCCTAGCTCTGTGTAGTTTCCAAGGTCAATCATGATCTTGGTACAGATTAGACAAATTTAGAATTAATCTAGGAGCAAAAGATTACACAAGTTCCAGTGATAATGAGAAAGAAACTGGAACCCAAATGGCATTAATTTTTGGTATTCACTACACTGGAGTCATGAGGGACTGTGTGACCTCCTCTGCTGGTGTAACCCCAGGTGATTGCTTTTCTAGTTTCTGTCCCTACTACCTAACAGGAAAGGCATCAACAGTCGCCAGTGTTTCTTTGATTCAGATTTGCTGCAGGATTCCAGTGAGCTCAGGGCAGGAAACACATACAATTTCATATAAACAAAGCCATGGAAAATACAGAGTACAAGGGCTTTGTCTTCAAACACTTTCAAACACATCAAGAACACATTTAGTAAATATTTCACGATTTGACTGAAGGAGGAAAAATGTTAAGAAAAAACTGCATATAGCAACCTAAGATAGGGGTCAATAAACCATGGCCCATGAGCCATATCCAGCTTGCTGCCTGTTTTTGTAAATAGTTTTATTGGAACACAGCAAGCTCATCTGTTTTGTCTATAGCTTTCCTGCTACAATGGCAGAGTTGAGTGACAGAGGCCAGATGGCCTGTAAAGTTCCTTTACAGGAAAAGTTTGCAGACTCTTTATCTAAGGAATAGGTAATATTTAGTCCCCATCTACAACCTTCCAAATCAATGGAAACAAGTGAGGACCATTCAGCCTTAATGATTCACTTGCCTCAGAGATGGACTGAAATGGGCATGGCTTGTACTGGTGGAGAGTTGCATGTCTTTGAGATTTAACTGGTAGGTAGGCTTCTTATTCTAGAGGAAAAGCATTCTACCGCATCCTGAAGATATGTCTTACCCTGATTCTAGACCAAGTCAGAAAAGACCTTCTGTAGCTCAACAATTGATAATGACTGAAACTAAGTTCCCAATTCCCTTGGTGAGAGATGGGGAGGTGACCATATATAGGAGGTACATTTTAGTTCAACATAAAGAATCTTCTAAGAACTAGTACAGTGAACTAGACCTGAAGTTCCCAAACTGTACATGTCAGAGGCATGCAGCAAATTCAGAGGGATGCCACAAAGTATTTTAAATTTCTGAGGGAAACACAGCAATATTTAACATCTGTTATGCCACGTGAACTACTAGCTCAAGGCAGTTGACAATTTCAACATCAGATCATACTATATGGCTTTCAAAGATGTCATACCTTTGCAAACCCGAGCTTTGGTAGTTACTATGATAAAAATCCAGTACCTCATAAAAATAAGTGTGGAACAGAAAATGAAGATGGCAATGTTTCATATAATCGTAAGGTTTGAGAAACTGTGCAATGTCTAACAGGTGTACACATCACATTAGTTAAGTAATTGAAATTATTTTATTCAAATAAAAACATTATTTTCTTTCAATTATGTTTATTATTTTTTCAAAAGAGTTTTAAGTGATTAGGATATAAATAAGCTATTTGAACCTACTTACTTAATAAATGGAACTGCTAAGTATTTCATCTGGCTTGGAACATTGTAAAATATTACTGAAACACTATGGGTTCTATGAACCAAGAAAGTTTGGAACCTCTAGACTGCATTGTTGTGGTTGATGGCAAGTCCCCCAAAAGCAGAGATATTCAAACACATGTTTAAAAATCACCTGGAGGGAAGGGGTAAGATA